AGAGAGAGAGAGCGTGTACTCGAGTGGGGAGGGGCAGAGGGAGAGAGAGAATCTTAAGCAGGCTCCATGCCCAGCGAAGAGCCCAACTCAGGGCTCAGTGTCACCACCCAGAGATCACGACCTGAGCTGAAATCAAGAGTCGGACACCTAACCGACTGAGCCACCCAGGCGGCCCGACACTTGGCCTGTTTCTGTCACACTCGTGCTTACAATGCATGGTCCTGGAGGACTGTTTACTAGGGCCCTACCACCTTGTCGGTCTTGAACTCCAATTATTGTCTCCCCAGCACTGCTGAATGAAGCTGACTGTTCCGTTCGACTTCTCTGCCCTGTGGTCCTTACAGCAAATGTACTCACAGCCTTGCATCCTCCTGAATCTTGGCAGCCCTGAACCCGAACTCCAGGGAAGCTGCTGAAAGCCTTGCTCAGCTTCTCAGTCTGACAGCTGCAGCCTTCTGTGCGGCTTCTCGGCTGCTTGGCCCGCACTAATCACTAATTGACAAGTGCCTTGAGAAGAAAGGTGGCAAAGAAAGCCAGGCTTTAAGTGGTCTCCCTTCTCCCTGTGATTTTGGCCTTTGGTCTCTCTCCCAAGCCATCAGAAGGGTGTCTTGCTACTTGATCTGCTGATTCGGATTGTTCTCCGTGGGAAGTTTGGTCTGCTGCGGTCTAGTGTGCCACAGAATACAAGTGCATTGTCATTTTTCCCGTGTTCCTTGGGTAACAGCTGCCTGTACCGAGAGTCCCTGACCCAGGCCAACATATTCAGTGAATAGAGGGAAGCCTGAGGTGCAAGGAGGGACAGACACTTACCCAGCTATCTGATTTGTTAATACCAGAGCTGGGGCCCAAACCCGGGTCCCCCAAAGGCCAGGCCAGCGTGCCTTCCGTGGAACCAGTCTTCCGAGAGGCACCCCTTCTGTTTCTACTTCTTTCTATCCTCGTAAGCTGGCCTGCTGCTTTGGACCATGAGAAGGACTGTGGGCCCCTCCTGCCCACGCGCTACCCCACCCATGGGTGGGCCGTGTTGGGTGCTGACAGACTGGGTGCTTCTGCACACACACACACACACACACACCCCTCCGGGTTCCCAGTGCGGACCAGGAGCAGACCACCTACTTGTCCCAGACATGCAGTCAGTTGTGGCTCTACCCTAATGGGCCGGGATGGCCTAATTATAGTCTCTGGCTTCCTGAGTAATTATGGGCCTCCCCAGAACTCCAGGGTGCTCCGTGCCTCTCCCCCAACTCTGCACCTCCGCCTCTGCCGCTCAGTTTCCTCCTTTGCCTTAAATGTCCCCCCGCTGCCCAGAGCAGGATCCAGCCCGCCCCTCCTTTGCCCTTAGCCCTACTGATACCAGGATTGGATTATGGGCTGCGTCAGGGGCACCCTGTCCTGCAGAGTGCCTCGGTCAGCCTCTGTCCACATTCCTGGCTCCTAAGCTAACCACGAAACTACGCTTGTTTACTTCCTCCTAGGCTAGACCCAGGTCCCGCCGGCCCTCCCCTCTGACTGCATGATTCACAGCCGGCCCAGGAGGGACCAGTTGAGGCTTGGCTCACCTTCGGGTTCCCCTTCCCTGCTCTGTGTGGACCGTCCCTCTCCTCTGGGCAGCACTAGGCAGGAGGCCCGGGCAGGGGGAGGCCGGGAGGGGCTGGGGAAAGGGCCAGGAGCCCCAGCCACAGCGTGATGAGGACCAGAGGCAGCAGCGTCGGGGGAAGGAGCATGGGTTTCAGAGCTGCAGGCCTGGCTTTCAGTCCTGTCTCTACCCCGTTGGGCAAGCCGCCAGCCCCCACACCCCCCGCTCCTCATCTGTAGAATGGGACAGCAAGCTCCGTGTGCGGCGCCGACACAGGAGAGACTCGGTAGACACATGTTCGCTGCTCTCATTGTCCTTCCCTTCTCCAAGAGAAGGCAGGTCACAGAGAAGTTAGAGAGTGAGCCGGGGGCTGGGTGTCGCAGGCACACCGACACGGGACAGGCTCCATCCACTGGTCCCCGATGTGGGCAGCGAGGGAGGCCTGGTAAGTAGCCCCAGACGCGGCCACCCCGACTGATGTCTTCAAGGGGACTGTCTAGGACGCCCTTCTGTGTCCTCAGAGATGGGGTCAGTGGGGGCAGCCACGACTGGGGGTGTGGAGAAGGGAGGTGGCTCTTTTCCCTGAAGTCCTCCTTCCCCCTCAGGCTGGGGGCTGCCACCTCCTGGGGCAACGAGGTGGGCACACACCTTCTCCCCGGGCATGTGGGCACCCAGCCTTCCCCATCCAAGGAAGCGCCAGGAACTCCCCCAGGAAGAGGAGGCTTGGAGGGCTGGGGGGATGGGCAGAAGAGGGGGCCTTTACCCTCTGCCTTCTCTCCCTCACTACCGGCGTAGAGACCCTGAGAAGTCCTGGCAGCCAGCTGCTGTGTCCCTTGAGCAAGAGAGGAGCGGGTACCTGATGAAGACAGTGGCGAGGGAAGGATGGGGTCCCGGGGAGAGAGTGAGGGGGCTCCTGCCGGACCGGGAGGCTGCTCAGAGCAGGGCACCCTCATCGAGAGGAGACTTCTCGTGCTTTTCCTGAGTCTCTGCTGGAAACGGGGACTGTGGACCCCTCCATCCAGGGAACAAGGATGGAAGGCACAGCTGTGGTTGTAAGGAGAGAGGGTGAAGAACCAGGGAGCTGTGTTCCTGGAGCAGGCAGAGGCTGAGCCCAGGGAAGCAGGCCAGGGAGCAGGGACAGAGGCAGGAGGAGGGGTGGTGGCGGAGCTACAGGGGCCCTTCGGAGCTGTTAACTGCGACTCTCAATTTGATAGACGAGAGCCGAGCTCCAGAGTGGGCGGGAAGGCGCCCAGCGTCGCTCCAGGGCCCTCTGAGTCCCATCTGCCCACCCAGCCTCCAGAGGCCTCTCCACCTCTGATGGCTCTGCTGGTCCAGGTGCCGAGGCCAGAGCTGGGGTGAAGACCGACTGGTGCCATGACTTTGCTAGCTCCTAGCATGTCCTGCCAGGCTGTGGGGCGGGGCGGCTCCCTGTGTGGGGACAGGGCCCCTCCCTGTCCCAGGTTGTTTGGGCTGCCTCGCTGCAGGCTGCAGGGCGGGTGAGGGGCTGGGGGAGGCCCTCTGCAGACTGAAGAGCAGGGCCTGCCTCCTGGCTGCTCCCAGGCCAGGTCCCCTCCAGAGCCCTCCAGCCCCACCCCTGCCCCCGCCAGCCGGGTGACGGAATCCCCGCCTGTGCAGTTGGCCGGCCACGTGAGCCAAGCCCACACAGGGCCACATCCCCCCTGTGGGGGAAGTGGGCATGGGCAGGCGGGGGCAGGGAATGGCTGGAAGGTTTTTATTGGCCCTCGTGGGGCTGACTCTGTCTGGGCTCCAGTTTCCAGTTTAGATCCCAATTTAGATCTTAAAGAGGATGGTGTCACTGACACTCTGTTCCACAGAAACATTCTGGGAAGCAGACATGCAGGGAGCAGCAGGGGTGGGGAGCATGGGGGGTGGGTGGGTAGTGAGGGTGGGCAGCGGGTAGCATCCACCAGGATTCACAGCAGTTGCTTTCTCATTAGCTGGGGAGGAGGCCTTGGCATCGCAGACCTGGGTCACGGCCATTGGCAGGGCTCCCAGCTCCCAGCTGCAGGATCCCTCCACCCCGAGAGGCCCACCTGGGTTCTGGTTTCCACTCAGGGGCCCCTGAGGATACTGCTTCACCTCTCTGGGCTTTCGCTGCCTCCTCTGTGAAATGCAGGAACTGGACTGGCTCCCACCTCGCTCAAAAATGCTGGAAGTCTTTTGCAAGAGGAATGATGTAGCAGCAGAATTCTCAGGGACAGCTGAGTCCGGGCATGAGAATTCATTCCCCAGGCCAGCCCTGGGGCCCACTGCTCCCACCAACCTTACCCAGCATCCTTTGCGAGACCACTGAAGAAAGCCAGGTCTTTGCTGGGCATCCTCACGAAGCCAGAGGGTCCTCTTTCCTCCATGCTCTGGGCAATGAGAGATGCCTTGGACAGAGTGATGGCCACACTCTGCTTTGTGTCCTCAGGGTTGGTACAACTCTGGGAGGTGGTGACTTTCAGACCCACATGGTCAGAAGGATATTATGGTTATCTGACCCCTGGCTTGGGAGCTAACCTGGGCTCTTTAAGGACAGACCACATCTTTATCTGGGCATCTCCCCCAGGTGCTAGGCCAGAGCCGGGTGGGAGCAGGGGGCCACAGCTGTGGGGGAGTTCTCTGCCACGTGCCAGGCATCATGCCCAGGGCGGGGGATGTGAGCCGCGACCCTCACTCTCTTCCTGGGGTTCCACAGTCTAGCGGGGTCTACCAGATAGGCACCAAGGGTTTGCTTTCGCTGTACTGTGACTTTTTTTTCTACGCGTCACCTGCACGATTCAGCAAGTAGTAGCCTCAGGAGCTCAGAGAATAGGCTGGGGTAGTCAGGGTGGGCCTCCTGGAAGAGCTGTCCTTTCTCTGGGCTGTTGTGCCCATGCACTCATCCTGGGAGGGGTCTGCCTCTCGTGCCTCACTTTTTTGGTTTTCTGCTCCACGTCACCTGACTCCATCTCTATCTAGTCCCCTGACAGTCTTGCGCAGAGTCTAAGGTGTGATGTCCGTGGCGCAGGGGGTTATCAAAGACCACAAGACGGTATAGAAGGCCAAGCTGGCCTCCAGACCTGGACAGTCTTGGCCATTTCCCAGAGCTGTCCAGCTCTCTCAGTTCCCAAGCTGAGCCCTGAAGTCGGAACAATGAATTCTCACCGTGCACCAGGACTCAAGCACACTTACACGCCTTGTCTCCGAATCCCTGCTAGTCTGCAGGTGAGGCTTCTCATCCCCACTGCACAGGTGGTCCGGCTGACCTAGAGAAGTCACGGAATCAGCCCGAGCTCTGTCAGTTGGCAGACCTGGCCTTGGTGTCTGGCTAACCCTCGGGCTCGTCCCTGTGGCCTGGGCACCACACCTGCTTCATGGGAAAGCCTCAGGAGACCTGCCCCTCGTGCACTGACTTCTCCCCTCTTTTCTCTGACCCTAGGTGCCCCTGGCCCTCCAGGACCAAGAGGACTCAAAGGAGACATGGGCACGAAGGGGCCCGTTGGCAGCAGAGGACCAAAAGGAGACCCTGGTAGCTTCGGCCCCCCGGGACCCCAGGGGCCTCAGGGGCAGCCTGGAGACAGAGGACCTATGGGAGAAAGGGGGCCGGTTGGCCTTCGAGGTTTCCCAGGCCTCAAAGGCTCAAAGGGAAGCTTTGGAAGTGGAGGCCCAAGAGGACAGCCAGGCCCCAAGGGGGATGTGGGGCCCCCAGGGCCAGAGGGGCCCCCAGGGTCTCCAGGACCCTCAGGGCCTCAGGGAAAACCAGGGATTGCTGGGAAGACAGGGTCCCCGGGCCAGCGGGGGCCCATGGGGCTTAAGGGTGAACCAGGGATCCAGGGGCCCCCTGGAGTCCCAGGGCCCCCAGGCCCACCAGGAAGCCAGAGGCACTGCTAAGGGCCCCAGTCCCAGACACTGCTACACAGGATGGCAGGAAGGGCCTCAGGGCAGAGCGAGCCCCCCAGAAAGCCACACCTACAGACAGTTGTGGTCCTTTGATCCCAAAGGGGCCTCCCCCCGGCCCGTCCCTGCACCTCCGGGCTCCCCAGTACTGACTGTACCATAGAAAGCAGCCCCTCACACACACGCGCGCGCACACACACGTACACGCACACAACGTTTCTCTGCTGCCCAGCGGGGCCAACCAGGCTTCCCTGGCTGGGCAGGAGGAGAGGGCAGGGGGAGATGCCCCCTCTCCTGTGACTGAGCCTGCCAGGGAGGTGGCTACCTTGGGAGGAAGGTCTTGAATCTATTTCCGAATTCCCGACCAACTCAGCTTTCCAGCATCTTCAGAACCAACCTGGCCAGCAGTTCCCTGTGGCTCCCAGCGCTTGAGAAGACCCAGGAAAACCTTTGCAGGGGATGTGGTTCAAACTCGAGGGACAAGGGGGATTTGGCGACCAAAACATTCTCCTCCTAACCTTGGGAATGGAGTCCCGGGAGCTGCCCCTGCCTCATCCGGGCCAGAGGGACTCCACCTGTGCCGCTGTCCCCAGGCTCTGCGCACCGTGCTCCCATGAGTTCAGCAATTTTGTCATGTCTCCCGAAAATTCCTCACTTCATCCTTGCCTCCTTCTCCCAGGAGCATCCTAGAAGAAATCCAAGGAGGAGTCTCATCTGCATGGGAAGGCTATCTAGGCCCTGGAACATTCTCCCAGAGTGGTGCCCAGCAGCTGGGACGCTGGAGGAAGGGGGGGTGGGGGGACAGCAGCAAGTGTGAAGAGGCCGGGGTCAGCGGGCTGTCTGTGGAGTTGGCTCCCTTGCTCTGCACCAGGCCAGCCTGCTCCACTCCTGGGACGGGCCCCTCTGCGGCGGCTGATGGAGGCCAAGCCGGGTAACAACAGCTCTCCCCTCCTGCACCCAGCTCTCCTGCCCACAGGTGCCCGCTCACCTCACCCTACCATGACTCAGAATGGCCCGAGGCCTCTCTGCATGGGCAGCAAGACTGGACGTGAGGACAGAAGGGCCTGAATGTGCACAAGAGGCTCACTTTGACATCACCCCTGACCACCTCCAGCTTCCTGCGCGCACGGGCACAAAGGAGCCCTGGGAAGCTCCCCTGGCAAGGTGAAGGCAGCCCACAGGCTAAACTGGTTGTGGAGCTGCCCTCCTTTGTGTTCAACAGATTCCGACCACTCCTGGGCCGGGGCATGGAGCTGTCTCCTCCCCGGCCCGACTCAGACACCAGCCCCTTTCCGCCTTCCGAAAGCCTTCATGCCACCTCCCTTCTCGTAATCGGCGTGCAACTGGTTTGCACTCCCGCCCGCCCCCACTGCCGTGTAATCCTGTCTACATATGATATCATGCGACGTAGTATTACTGACTCAGTAAAGAGCTCTTTCCAGGAGGGAGGTGTCTTCTGGTCCTTTCGGCCCAAGCAGGGTCATAATGCCTCACCTGCCCTCGAAGGGAAACCAGTGGACGAGGGGTCCCCTAGATACTCACTGTGGAGTTTGGGTCTCACCCCCTTCCCCTCCATCTAGAAACACTGAGCTCTGCCAGGAATTCATGGTGGTCCTGTTGGGGCCAGGGACCAAGAGCACGTGGGGGAATTACCCACAACGAGCAGGAACCCAGTGAGAAACAAGGTGAGCTGGACATCTGAGTGATACCTTCCCAAGGCTTCCCTCTGCCGCCTCTAAGACCGGCGGATAAAAGAGAAAAGGAGGAAGAGACCAGGCTAGACCTTACCCCCGAGGGCCTGGCTCTCCAGAATCCACAGGAAACAGAGCACAGCTGGGTCCCCCGCGAATCAGCCAGGCTGATGGACCAGGCTAATGTCTTAGTCCATTTGGGCCGCTATCACAGAACACCACAGCCTGCTGACTTATAAACAGCAGACATTTCTTTCTTGAGGTTCTGGAGGCCAAAATCCATGCTCAAGGTGCTGGCAGATTTTAGGGTCTGGTGAGGCCTTGCCTGCTGGCTCACAGCTGGCCATATTCTCGCCCTGCCCTCACATGGCAGGAAGGGGGAGGAAGCTCTCTGGGGTCCCTTTTATAAAGGCACTAATCCCATTCGTGAGGGCTGCACCCTCAAGACCTAAACACCTTCCAAAAGTTCCACGTCCTAATACCATCCCACTGGGGGTTAGGGTTTCAACATATAAATTTGGGGGAGACACAAATATTCAGTATGGTAGCGTAGTGTATTCACTTGCTGGTAAAACACGGCCTAGGGTAAGTCCTATGCCCTGTTTTGCTTTTGTATTTTGTACTTTTGGATTTTTGTATTTTCACCAGAGAAACAAAACCAATAGACTATACAGTAGTCCCCCATTATCTGTGAAGGATATGTTCCAAGACCCCCAGTGGATGCCTGAAACCACAGATAGTACTAAACCCTATATATATTATGCTTTTTTCTCCAAATATACATACCTATGATAAAGTTTAATTTATAAATTAGGCACAGTTAAGAGGTTAACAACAATAATAATAAATAGAACAATTATAACAATATACTGTAATAAAAGTTCTGTGAATGTGGTCTCTTTTTCTTTCCTCTCAAAATATCTTATTGTACTGTACTCACCCTTCTTGTAGGGATGTGAGATGATAAAATGCCCACGTGATAGGATGAAGTGAGGTGACGGACGTAGGCGTTAGGACCTACGTGTTGGGCTACTATTGACCTTCTGCCTGTGCGTCAGAAGGAGGATCATCACCTTCCGGACTGTGGTTGACAGTGGTAACTATAAACTTGGAAAGCAAAATTCCGGATAAGGGCAGACTACTGTATACATATGTGTGTGTGTGTGTATATACTGGGGTGGGGAGGGGGGGCAGAGGGAGATACAGAGACTGAGAAGTCCCATGATCTTCTGTCTGCAGGCTGTAGATCCAGGAGCATCAATGGTGTAGTTCTAGTCTGAGTCCAAAGACCAGGGAACCAGGAGAGTCCGCAGTGTAAATTCCAGTCCAAGGCAGGAGAAGACCCATGTCCTAGCTCACACAGCCAGGCAGAGATAGAATTCTCCCTTTCTTCACCTTTTTGTTCTACTCTCTCACCCTCTGCAGATGGGATGATTGATACCTATCCACTTTATCGAAGCTGATCTTCTTTACTCAATCTACCCATTCAATTGCGAATCTCTTCTGGAAACATCCTCACAGACACACCTAGAAATAATGTTTAGCACAGAGGCCTTGTGCTGTGGGGGTCACCTCTAGGAGGGGAGGGTGGAACAGAGTGAACGATAGGTCTCCACCTCAAGCCGCACATGAGGCAGGCCAAGGGTTCGGAGAAGAAGGGGGCCCTGGGGACAAGAGTGACAGGTGAGGCTGAGTAGGCCAGGGAAGGCATCACCCAGGCCGTGGCAGAGTTGGTGGGCCTTGAAGGAGGCAGTGGGGACCATCCAGTGGTGTCATTTTACAGCCTGGGTCCCCAAGAACACCTGCAGGAAATTCCAGACAATCACTGTCCAGGGTGGGGTTGATGGCATGTGTGGCAGGGGTCATGCTCCCCAGCATGAGCCAGGGGTCCCGGGAGCTGGGGGAGCCCAAGCCCGAGGGCAAGCTAATGTCCTGGAGTCAAAGTCTGGAAAAGTTAGATCTGCGATCCATTCCAAGGGATGAGTTGGGATCCAGAATGAGAGACAAGGCTCCAAGGATCAAAAACTGAGCGATTCGAGAGCATAGAAGCAAACACATAAGAAAAACTCATGTGTCCTGGACAACTGTCACCAGCCTCTCTGGCCGTGTGGTTTGGAGGGGGGTACACAGGGAGGGGGTCATGTGGTAAAATTAGAGACACGAGAGCAAGATTGACTCTGAGCAAAGCTGGCCATTAAGTCTGTGGTTGGCAATAAAGGAATAAGAGAATCATAATGACATTAATAGTAACAGACCCCAGTGGAGGATTTACTATGCAACCGAAGACCATTCTAAAGACCTTACATATAATAACACATCTAATCCTCACTACAATTTAGAATGTAGCTATTATGTCCACATGTACTATTATTATTCCCACTTTACACATGGGAAAACTGAGGTTTGGAGAGATTAACTTCCCAAAGTCACACAGATAATGAGTTTTTAGATGTACCTCTATTGAAACTCAGCCTTGGGCGAGTTACCCTCTCTGAGCTTCTGTTCCCTTCCTGTAAAATGGGGGTTATAATTGTACCTACCTCCTGAGGTCATTGAGGGGATTAAGTAAGAGGATACTGTAAAAAAAAAAAAATTGGAAAATCTAATTGGATTCATTAAATGATTCATGAATCAGGCAGTACCCCATCTGGCAAATAGAGGGGCACTCGGAGGAATTGTACAAAATGGAGAGTTTTTATGGGGGGGCAAAAAATTATAAGCAAAAGGAAAGAAAGGATTATTGCTGGCAAAATCACCTTCCCATGGTGGGAAGAGCAGGGGGTTTTATGATGCAGATTACCTCATCTTCCTTTGGGGAAGGGAGAAGACCCATGTCCACAGATAATCTCATTGGTGCTTATCAGAAAATTCCTGACTGACAGGTTTGAGACCTACATTTCTGGGGGAGATTGAAACTGCAGTTAGGTTAGGTATGAAGCCCAGGTTTGATGACCTGGCCTGGCCCAAGTACCTCCATTTGGGGCCCATGGTTTTCTTTTTAACAATGCACTTGGCCAGTTGCCTGGTACATTAGTCAGCTCGGGCTGCCATAACAAAGTACCACAGGCTGGGTGGCTCAACGAATACAAATGAATTTTCTCAGGGTTCTGGAGGCTAGGAAGTCCAAGGGCAAGATGCCAGATCTTCCTGACTTGTGTCATCTGGTTCCAGGGTCGGGGGTGGGGAGAGAAGTGTCTGAGAGGAGAGAAAAGGAGTGAGAGAGAGAACACTTTTCCTTTTCTTATAAGGCCAAGGTCCTAACAGATTAGGGCCCCACCTTATGATCTCATTTAACCCCAGTTACCTCCTAGTATCCTATCTCCAGATACAGTTGCATTGGGGGTTAGGGCTTCAGCATGTGGATTTTGTGTAGACACAATCCAGTCCGTAGAATACATGGCGGTGGTGATTATGTTACTAGCCATTGTCACGAGGGTCATTATACAGATCCAGAGCTTCCTGAATAGCAGTGGCACTCACCACTGTCCTCTGCAGATGACCAGCCAGAACTCCAGCCCCTGCAACTCCCACTCCCACATTCTCTGCATTGTTAGATCCAAGAGTGATCTGGTGCATCACCAGGCTCAGCCTCTCTACTTTCCAAGACAGAAAGCAAAGACTGCTAGAGGTGAGGAGTTTGTCACCATCTGGGACTAGAACTCAGGCCTCTCGGGTCCTGGTCCCCGCAACTTCTCACATCTCTGGTTGTGCTGCAACTCTACTTCTTGGGCCCTTTTGCTGTTGGTCACAACCATTGAGCACCTTCTGATGCACATTCCCCAGAAAGTACCCCCTAGTCCCTTTCTCTCATCAAATGGCCCCTACTACTAATGTGACCCTTCATAGTATCCAGACCATTTTAGGTGCT